TTTGTCAAAAATTACAATTGTGCTCTCTCTCTCTCTCTCTCTCTCTCTCTCTCTCCACTATCATCATCACCATAGCCACCACAACACCACCACCATCAGTACCACTCTACTACCACCATCTAGCCACTACTAGTCCACCACTCACCACCACCATCACCTTTACCACCACCACACCATGACGATCACCACGTTCACTGCCGCCTTTGCTGACTACCACCCACCACCATCACTAAGCCACCACTACCACCCACCACCATCACTAAGCCACCACTACCACCACTGCTATCACCACCACCACCACCACGCCTAGCCACCACCTCACTGCCTAGCTGCAGCCATAATCATCATCATACCGCACCACCATTGCCTCCACCACCACAATTGCAGCACCGCCTACCCACCACCACCTTTGCTCTACCACCAAAACCACTTCACCACTTCCTACCCACCACTACCACCACATCGTACACCACCACCATTTTCACATTATTACCACCATATCACTAGCAAAACTGCCATCACATCTCATAATAACAATTTATAACTCAACTCAAATTGTAATCAAGGTTTCAAAAAACGCTAAACGGCCCCAAGACGGCTGGCCTGGCGCTCAGCGCCTAGAACCTTGGGTGCCCTATGATATAAATTCTTTATATATGTACGTATATGTGTTGTCCAAATGCACACATACGAATATATTTGTGGCAATGTTGTAATTTATAGCATTTGAAAATATTGTAACATACTTTTTTTATATACAAACATATAACTTATCGCATGTTGAGAATAAACTTGTTCAAAATTCCAAAATTCCAACCATACAAAATTTAAAAATCCAATAGGCTATGTACTAGTAATAGTCTCCAACTCTCCATATTTTATAATAACAGGGACTCAACTCTCCAAGTCTTCAACAAACTTACAAAAGTATAAAACCAAACAACAAAATAGTCCAAAAAGGCAAAAAGTCTATCATCCAAATATCTAAAGTCCAAACCAAGATAGTGCAATAAAGCTATTACAAAAGAAGAGAGAGGATATCTATGTTTCTCCATTCATCATCAATAACTCCAATGAGAAAAAAAAAAAGTTTAGGAAGCTTCTTCAGACAATAAAAAATACTTTTGATTCTCAAAAATAGGTATAGCTAAGAGATTGAGGGCTTATGGAAGTGTTCTTTTAACTTTGGGGGTTGAAAATAACCCCCATAACCTATTTAAACCTTTTTGGGGTCAAAATTACCCCGTTTGCCCTTTTGGGCATCTTTTAAAATCGAAAAAAGGCCCATGCCCTAGGGGCCCGCCCAGAACTAGGCGCTAGTGCCCGCCTAGGTACAGCTAGCCAGAATGGGGCGCCCAGGTCTTGGCGCGCAGCCAACGGTGTGTTGGGCGCCTAGGCACCGAGCAGACCGTTTTTCAAAATATTGATTGTAACAATTAAACACCCATATAAAGCAAATGATAACAGACCAAATCACCATTTGGTCAACACAAATTGAAAAATGAAAACACCATTCAAAAAAAATTTACAGCAAAGTGATCCCTTAACGAATTGTCTTTGATAGCTCAAAAAGTTTCTTTGATCCAACAGTACAAGAAAAAAGAAATGTTTTAAGAAGATCTTGGCAAAAACTTTTATTTTCTAACAATAATATATATCACAGCTGAAGCCTGATACTACTGAATCAGCTATTTTATCTTTTGTACCTACAATTCAGAATGTTTTCCCCTACTTTCTGCATCAAAATCTAAAATCGCTGGCTTCTGATAAAGAACAAGCAATTCTAATAAGATTTGTAATCTGAATACCTATACACATGCATCATCTTTTCTCTTTCAAACAGCCAAACAGCCTCATGCCAGAACTATTCATTTTAAAAATTTCAACGTTAAAAAGAAAAGCCATCACATCAGACCTGATTCAAGGAATTCTTCACCGTGATGTACTCAGCTGCCACAAAGACAAAAACCTGCATTTAGTGATAGCATTAGCAAAGAGACAAGAGAACCCGAAGTTACAACATGCAACTAATAATGGCAGCTAAGATAGGTATGGTACTGATCACTAAGCAGGAATAATAATTACCACAAACTATTGCAAACACAAAGAGATGGACAAAGTGCCAGAGTTGACAATCGAGGCATTAACCCATTGCCAAGAAGTTCACCACATGAGGAGACACTGACATAGTATGAAGTTTGTGGCCATCAAAAGCATTTGCTGTTAGTTTTTCCATTTCTTTACTGCTATGCACTCAGACTTTTCATAAGTCAAAATTAATTACAATAAATTATCCCCATTTCTATTATCCTTTCTATGTGTGCATGCTTCCATTTACGGACGTGCATTCTCTATTCCCATGGTTATGAATTGCCAATGCTTGACCAAGCGCTGCTATATGGAGTGGACCATAGGTATTGACCTATATATATCCCGTTCAGTGTTGTAGAACACAGATTCAGCCACCTAGGCAGCTACGGATCCAGGCCACATTGGCAGCTAGGCAGGAACCTAGCTCCCTTAGTGGCCCATCCAGGAAGGTGGGGGTTCTAGGCCCTATGAATGGTGTTCGAGGAATTGAGTTGGTTTCCAACAAAATGCCATTAAACACAAACCAAAACCCACTCTTGAATATGGGCCACAAATCCAAATGTAAATTTGGAAAAGCAAATACAAGAATAAAACCAAACAAATAAATAAATAATCCCAGCACTCATATAAATCAACAATTCCTAAGACAAAAAAAAAACATACACTGGCATTTCAAATGCAATAAATCTTCAATGTAAGTGACCGTTAGTTACCAAAAATTTTCTTTCACAATCACTTCAACTCACAAGATAGGATTGAGTGCTTTGATTTCCAATGCCCCCCAAACCCTTCCCCACTCCCCTCCCCCCCCCAAAAAAACAGAAATATATATATATATATATATATATATATATATATATATATTATTTTAAAGAGGGAAAAATGAACTAAATGCCACTGGCAGAAAGGATTTTTCTATCCTCTCACCAAGGGCTTCAACTCACCCCCTAGACATCTAGGCAAAGGCGGGCCCTCGAGTGTCTAGGCGGTCACCTAGGCAACTATACGCCTAGGCCAGCTCAATTCGGTGAAGCTCCAAGCCACCTGACCAAATTTTTGAACCTTACTCGTGTTTAGCATGTTGTCCTTCAAATGCTAGGGATATTGACATTGACAACTTTCCACAGTCAAACCTGCATATGAACTAGTGCGTTGAGGAGGCATAGGTGAATCCATCACCATAAGCATGGGGCTCGATTTTATATAGAATGCTACAAATGTATGGGACTACTCACAAAGTTTCTTGCTAGTGTACTGGCTACAAGCAATTCCTGCACCACCAATGTCTAATAATAATTTATGAAACCTTAAGACCCTATCTCTGGGTGTCTAGTAGGACGGGTAAACTATTACTTTAATTTCATGCACAAAGCACACAGATTGCATGGGATGACAAACATAATGAGTTAGGTAGATGGGTTGGATAACAGTTCTTGGTCCAATCAGTCTGACCAACCAGTCTGCTCAGGTCTTAATAACATTGCTTTACAATGTGAAACAACATGCAAATTAGTCCATCTAAGTCCCTGAGTCTCCAAAATGGTTGGTAGGAGGAGTCAAGTCTACCCATGTCAGAACCTAAAATGTTTTGAAACCATTTTCCTAATGAAAATTTTGTATTTTGGTAATTTTACTGCAAAGCCAAATTACTCTAGATTTGTTGGAATGTTTCTTCATATTTTTTTACTTTTTTGGGATTTTATGGATTTTATTTATGCAATTTTATGATACCAAGGGCAGTATGGTATTTGGCTATTTTTAGGGTTTCTAGGATTTAGGGGGATATCATCTGGAATAGAGCTTCTCCAGAGTCTAATTAAAAGTTTGTGCAATTTTTTATTTAGGGGCAAATCATTTTCTTTTTCTTTCATGACAAGGTTACATAGGAATGGAACTTGAGAAGTAGTGCTATGAAAAACAGCCGCTACAGCCTTGACCCAAGCCCGATTCCTATTTAGTGGCCAATCAAATTACGACGATCCCTTTGCACATATACATGGACTTGCCCATTGAGGCAGATCCCTTGTAATTTATGAGCTTATCAATGACATAGGCAAGGACCTTGATGTCCAGTGGAGGGACCACCCTATCTAGTCGACAGGGCCTTATTGATTGAGTCCAATAAGATCTTGGGACTGACAGTGGATATTGATTGAGTAACATTTGGGACATTAGCCAAAGACTTACTTTGGGTAGGTGCATCTTTTCCCAAAGACTATGGGCATTTATGTCTTGGTGTCTTTTATTAGTTATTATAAATAGGAAACAGGTCACACAACCTATTCGATCCTTACGTAAGTTAAAGCCACCGGAGAAAGGAGAGAAGGTAACCAAACGCTAGTTGCTATCTTTTGTAAATTTGAAGAGAGGCCAATATCCTGCTCTGCAAAGCACATTTCCAGCATCTTTATTAAATACAGTCTTGACTAATTTAATCCAGGTCCCCGATTTAAAGAGTTTTGCTCACCAGTTTTTATTTGGGTGTATTCTGTATCATAACATCCACTCAACCATATTTGGCGAACTGTTCCTGAAAATAGGCTTAAACCCCAGACTGGGCATTGAGGCATCATTTTACCCAAAAAACCCTTAAAAGGCAGGGTAAATGATGGTTTCTAATGAAGGGAGGCCAGCCACCACAAAAGCACAGGGTTATCCGCTCCAACATGAAACCAGTAACATATATGCCTGAAAGTTATCAAAAAAGTCAAAAGTTACAAGAAGGGCCCAAAACAATCACACATGGGGAAAAATTTGGAGGATCCTTATATTTGGTGGTCAAGGACGTCACAAATAAAAATCATGACTCGTGCTCCATTGTGATCCTTATATTTGGTGTTCGAGGACATCACAAATAAAAATCATGACTTGTGCTCAATTGTGATCCAAAACGCAAATTTGGATGACTACTACGAGTGACTAACCCTGCCAAAATGGATGAATATAGGAGTCAAAATGGGCCGAAGTTTAATCTAAGGAACCCAAGATACCCCTAAAAAATCAGGCCATTCTGATATAAGGAGGCCAAAGCAAGCAGCAATCTTGGTAACACAGATGGTAACCTGATAGCATGGAAAAAGTTGGTCAATTTACAAAAAGACCCCTGGAAAACGGTGCCTGATGGAGCTGAAATTTTGAGGGAGTTAACAAAATCCTTAAAACCCTTAAATTTTAAAATTTCAGGCCATTCCCATAACATTTAGTATCTTTTTTATAGAGAATTTTATAGTAGCATACTATTCATATGCTAACACGGGTACTATCCACACATAGCCAAAGAACAGCAGAAATCAGGTTGAGACCTCCATTATCCCTTGGCCGTTTCTCCTGATTCCTACGGTATGGTGGATGCGGAATTGGCTGAAATTTGGATATGTCATTGCTTTCGAGTGCTCTCTCCATACATATACATATCATGGCGTTTCCTAGCACGGATTATGGGTAGATCGAAGTGAAAAGATAAGAGGTTGAAGAAACTTCATGTGTCGCAACCTGGGTAATCTCTACCCAATCCACAAACGATTTCTCCCAATCTGAGGGGAATCTTCAGTTGAAATTGTGCAAGCAAGTCCTTCACTCACCACTCTTTTTATCCACATTGCCATGGTCCCTATGAAGATTTAAGGTGATTTTGAAGCCTATTTACAGATAAATTTTTGGTACCACATAATATTTAACACACACCCACAAAAACACTCATAACTCCCTCAACACTTGGAGTTTTTGAGAGCGAATTGGGCAAAAATGCTCGTAGCTCGATTCTTTACAACTCTATGGAGCCAAAAGGACGTGAACTCGCCAAAACAATGACCGAAATAACAAGGGAATGAGAGGTTATATGGACTCCCAATATTTCCAAGGGTAATTCATGTATGTATATTCATATATACATACATGCATATTACAAACACTCATGAGTGAATTCCTATAGTATCTCACTCATGGATCATCACCATCTAAAATCCATCATAAGGTCATGGTTATCTGATGATGTTTTGAATTTTAATACTTTTTTGAAAAATCAAATTCATCTTAAATTTGGTGAGTATACATCTAACTAAATCGCACCTAAATAAAATCTTAAAATAATCATTAAAAAATAAAATGATGAAAATTCCCCTGAAATAGTCATAGGGGTAATTTGGTCATTTTATACATTGAATTATTTTATATATTATTTGGGTGGGCATCACTAAGATGCATACAGCCATAGAATTTAAGGTTAATCAGCTTTGCAAACAAATTATTAAAATTCAAACACTATCAGGCAATCGTGACTGTTTGATGGACTTTGGATGGGATGAGCCAAGAGTAAAGGACTATAGAACTTCACTCATGAGTGTTTGTAAGTGGTTTTGTATATATGTGTGCATATGTGTGTATGTGAAGGCTTGTAATTTATTAGTGTGTTTGCCTTGTCATTAGATTTACGGTCACAAATAGTATACGCACATGCACATGCACATGCACATGCACAACCAAAAAGGAGAGCAGAGTTTTCTGTTTACGAAGATGAAAATCTACTTTAAATAGTAAGTACAGACTCACTGAAAAAAATAGCAAGTATAGACTCACTGAAAATAGTCTCCCCTCATGCTAAATAGTAAATCGTACCAAAATCATCCCTGCCAAATCCTAGAGACTCGTTTTATGCTCATAAAGTTGCATGGATGTAAAGATACAATTATTTTGGTACCTATGGATTTGAATAAATAGAAAATAGTTAAAAGTTAAAAACAGGGTTATGATTTGTTGAAGCACTCCCCTTTTAATTTTATTATTCCCTCTATTTTCATGTTCTTTTTCGGAAGAAAATTCACTATCCTCTATTTTCATGTTGAATTTTGTAGATAGAGAATCCTGTCATTTACTTCAATT